CAATTTAGTATTTCGAGGTTGAGGAAATTCTACAAGAACATATATCTGTGGTGAAGGAGGTATTTTATGTAGTGCTTCTAGTTATTTATGTGATTTTTTTTTTTTTTTATTGCAGATGAAACAGAATTTAGAAACTTCATTGTTTGGCTTGAAGACCAGAAAATCAGACACTACAAGATTGAAGACAGAGGTAATTTAAGAAACATCCACAGCAGTGATTGGCCCAAGTTCTTTGAAAAGGTAATGAATTAGGAAGTAAAGTAAAAGTACAGAGAGCTTATCTGAAAATCATATGAAGATGAGCTTAAAATTACTTAAAAATGATAATGATAGTATTAGGAAAGCTGGATTTCAGGGGTTTCGCAAATTTCTTACTATGTCTCTTTTGCTTTTAGAGCAAATTATTTTATGGCTTCCTACCAAGCTTTCAGTATTAGATATAAATAGTTTCCTCTAGAAACATGACATTTCTTAAATAATGATATAAATATTTCACTTTCCTTTAATGGCCCAAATTAGAATTTTTGTTAAACTGAAAATGGAGCAATAATACACTTACAGTGCTATTTCTTATATTAAAGACATTGGCCAGGTGTGGGTGGCTGAAGTGGCAGATCGTTTGAGCTCAGGAGTTCCGAGACCGGCCTGGGCAACATGAGAAAACCCTGTCTCTACAAGAAAACAGAAAAGTTAGCTGTGTGTGCCGGCATGCACTTGTAGTGTCAGCTAATTAGGAGGCTGTGGTAGGAGGATCAGCTGAGCCTGGGGAGATTGAGGCTGTGGTGAGCAATGATTAGAACCTTGCGCTCTAGCTTGGGCAACAGAGTGACAACTTGTCTCAGTAAAAAAGAAAAAAAAAAAAAAGACATTGACATGCTTGGAAACTAAGATTGTCATGTTTATACTTATATTTAACGTAGATATCCATTGTTGTATACTAGAGAAATAGTCCTTAAAACATCTCTGGTATATCATATTTTTGTGCCTTGAATAATTTTCCCATTGATTTAGTTTTAGTAACTTTTTGCATAAAAAAATTCTCAGAAAAAATCCTTTCACAGTGTCATTACTTACATTAAACATTTTCATCAGTTATATTACTTTGATGAGTGAAATATTTTTCTTGAAAAATATGAAAAAGGCTAAGTTTTTGATTTGCCAGAACAAGATTAGGTACTTTCTCCACAGAATCAATGATTTTATAAATTAGGGATTGTATAAATTACCTCAGCGTTAGTAAACTTTCCGTGTCACAATTTTCTCATCAATAAGTGAGGGTAACAGTGGTACCTATCTCATAGGTGTGGCTCTGTTGTTCATGAATGACTTCATGGAAGTGCCTGGTGCTTACCAAGTGTGATATGCTTCCTACTGCCAATGCCTCTGTACTGCTACTGTTAATACTACTGTATGCTTTTCCTTTGCTCTTAGAAAATATTTTTAAAATTTTCAGTGGGCTTCTTAACACTTTGAAATACATTTTTAGGATTTTATTTTGTTTATATTACATTTTATGATCTGTTCATGTTAAAAGACAATACAGAATTCTACGGGTAGAAGGGTATTTGGAGATTATAAAAAATTTTCTGGGCTGGGCGCAGTGGCTCACACCTATAATCCCAGCAATTTGGGAAGCCGAGATTGGTGGGTCACCTGAGGTCAGGAGTTCAAGACCAGCCTAGCCATCGTGACGAAACCCTGTCTCTACTAAAAACACAAAATTAGCCAGGCATGGAGGCGCATGCCTGTGATCCCAGCTACTAAGGAGGCTGAGGCAGGAGATTCGCTTGAACCCAGGAGGCAGAGGTTACAGTGAGCCAAGATTGTGCCATTGCACTCGAGCCTGGGCAACAGAGCAGGACTCTGTCTCAAATATATATATAGGGAGGGGTGTGTGTGTGTGTGTGGGTGTGTGTGTGTGTGTGCGCGCGCGCGCGCATTTCTGATGCGAAATACCTGGAATGATAAGGTAAAATAACTTAAACATATTAGAACTTACCTAAGCAGTTATTATCCTTCAAGTTGGTTTCTTCAGAATGGTGATGTCATTGTTAAATCATATTTGGAACTTCCCTTTTGGAATTGCTTTTAAATCATGAGTTACATTGTTTAAATACCCTTAGTATTGACAGTTTTTTAATACTTTGAAGGTAGATATGCCTTTTGGATTATAACCAAATCTTGTGAGTTGAAGGGATAAGATTTTTGGTTAGAAAATGTGTTATGACTAAAAGGTACTGATTCATTAATTATCCCTGAAAGGATTTTTACAAAGCTCCAGCAGTTTTGACTGATAACATTGTGCTAGAATTAGGTTTTAAACTCTTGAGATACTCATTTGAAGGACAACATTTATATTATTATAATGTTATAATAATGTTATATACAATGTTGAATATAATACTATTCAACATTTTTTGAATGTGCAGCTTCTGACATTTAGTTAAAATACTTGGTTACACCCTACATGCATGTTGCATGGCCATTCTTTATAGTGGCATTTCCGTAGTATGAAAATTAAGGTTTAGATAATGATTTATTGTATATCCTTTTTAAAGGTACCCCTTTTAGTTAATTGCTCTGTGTATATTGAGACTAGGAATCAGCTTAGATTCTAGTCCCAGGTGTAAGTCCTTTATCCCTTGGCAAGTGTCAGTCTCTCTAGGCCTCAGCTTTCTCATCTATAAAAGGAGGAAGTTGTTGTATTCTGTTTTTTTTCTGAAGATGGTACACTTAAATGTTCCCTTCTGTTGGGTTATATAATTGCACCTAAAGTGTAGTAATATAAATGTTGTTAAAATATTCTTAGAGATCCAAACTAAGGTCTCTTTTTACTCTACCATTCTTTCTTCTGTGACTTTATGGTAATAATGAAACTGGTGGTTTTTTTCTTCCCCTTCACAGTATCTCAGAGATGTTAACTGTCCTTTCAAGATTCAAGAGCGACAGGAAGCCATTGACTGGCTTCTTGGTTTAGCTGTTAGACTTGAATACGGAGATAATGGTACGTTTTGTGGGTGGGGAATGTTTATTTTAAAGAGGAAAGATGGGAAAGGGAGTGTGAAAATGTAGGGAACTTACCAATTTGTTTTGTCTAATACTGTTTTACCTTCATTCATTCTTATCACAAGTTAAAAGCACTTTTATTGTCTTTCATTGTGTTTATATATTTCTTTTAGAATTTGGAAATGGTGCACTTTGGGGAAGGCCAATTGACTGTCTTCTCACCAAGTCACACCACTTTTGATAATACGGGCTGCACCTTAGCCTTTCAAATTAAATTGTTGTTAGTGTCTCAGAATTGATGGAACTTTGAAGTGTTGGCAGCAGGTCATTTCTCAAGAGACTGAAATATGTCTAATGCTAATGTACATTAATACTCTCTAGGCCAGAATATGTTACTTATGCTTTTGTCTTATCAGATACTTCTTATGGTTGGAAGCTTCTGAATATTAGTGTACCTATAGTGAAAACAATTTTCCATTAAACATGTGTTTCGTCTCATTAGACCATTTCATTTTTAAAGGCCTGCCAACATCTAAATGCAAGATTTGATTATCTTAACTCCATCCTCTGCATTTTGCGTTTTTCAGTTAGTTCCAGTCCTTTTGATTTCTTACTTTGGAAGCCTTTTTATATCTTTGGCTTATCCCTTTCCCTTCATCCTGCCTACAGTGACCTGTCCTCGTGCTTGTTGTGTCTTCATTCCCATTGGCATGATCCTCATTTAGGCTTTTGTCACTTTCTGCCAAGAGTATTGTAATATCTCCCATTAATGTCACCTTCTTTTCTTAACTGCATGGCCAACCAAGCTAACTTTCTGAAACATAAATCTGTTTTAGGCTGCCACTTACTCCTTGTTTCCAAAGAGTAGTTCCAGTTACATATTCATATTAATAAACATCATACATATTCATAAACAGTAATTTCCCATTTTCTACAAAAAGAATTTTAAGCTCCAACCTGGTAGTTAATGATGGCTGATACCCAGCCAGTATTCACATTTGACATCCCAGCCAAATTAGAATAATATTGTTTCCTGTTTATATCCCTTTTCCCTCCTCAGTTTCTTTGTTCACACTTTTCCCTTGGCAAATGTACCATTTCATTCCATCTCTTCACATCTAAATCCTAACCGTCTTTTTAAAGATCCATCTCATATGCTGCTTTTGTCTTAGCAGCAGTATTATTTCCCTTTGAACTGCCATAGCTTTTAACTCCGTACCTTTTAAGTCATTGACCACTTTCCATTTTGCTTCTATGTCTTATTTGTCCCAGATTTGTAAGCTGATATTCGGCTTTGTTTCCTACAGGGCATCTCTGTTAGCTTCCAATTGATGCTGTAACAAATTACTGCAAACTCAGGGACTGAAAACACAGTTTATTATTTTAGAGTGAGAAGGCCAACATGAGATGTTGAAGGTTAATGGATTGTAAAAATGGAACAAACAGAATAAGAATAAAACAGAGATGTAAGAATTTATTTGGGACCAACCAAAAAACACTTTTGATAAGCTGCATATTGGCTCACATACAATTCCTACCAATCTAGAGCAGGGTATATAAAAAGACCTTGTTAAAGGCCCTAGGAATCAATTTATACTACACCAAAGCTTGGTTAAGTGACATTAACTCACTGGGTTAATGTCAAGTTGTCAGCAAGGCTGGTTCCTTTTGGAGGCTTTTTCAGGGGAACCTCTTTCTTTGCTTTTTTACCTTCTAGAGGCTGCCTGGATTCCTTGACTCTGGCCCCTTCCTCCACATTCAAGTCTAGCAGCATAGCATTTTACAGTTTCTCTTTGACTCCGCTTCCATTGTCATAACTCTGTCTCTGGCTCTGATCCTCCTGGGCCCACCTGGATAATCCAGGATAATCCCCCATCTCAAGATCCTTAATTTTATCATATTTGCAAGTCTTGCCATATAAGGTAACACATACACAGGTTCCAGGGATTGGACGTGGACATCTTGGTGGGGTAGAGGTCAGTATTGTATGTCACAGTACCTGACATAGTCTCTTGCACTCAAGTGCCTGTCAGTTTCAGTAATTGTGTGTGAATGCAGTCTATGTGAGTGCTTACATACACTGACAAGGAGCATCAGCCAGTTTTTTGCTGGTGCATCAGACTTAAATTTCAGAAGCCTTATGGCAAAAATCTTAAGGAAAGCTCTAATTTGAGACTTAGTTTACTTTTCTATACAGTTTCAAAAAAAAAAACCAACCTTGTTTTTCTTCCATTAGAAAATAAATGTATTCATACGCCTTGTGGCTTTGGTGTAATATTAATTGATTTCTAGGGCCTTTAACAAGGTCTTTTTATTATCTACCTTGCTCTGTATTGGTAGGAACTGTATAGGAGCCAATTTGTAGCTTATCAAAAGTGTTTTTCAGTTATTGCCAAATAAATTCTTACATCTCTGTTTATTCTATTTGTTCCATTTTTGTAATTCATTAACCTTCAGTAGTAGATACACATGGTTATATATACCTATTTCTCAGTAATAGCATGTTCTTTTAATGAATAAAAGAAGGTCATGTGTGAAGTGTAAATTTTTCAGTATTGAAAAAGGAAGTTAACATATAGTTGAAGGTGAATGGTATCAAAAGTGTATTAAAAGTCTAAATTAGAAAACAAGTTTCATTTATTTAGAATTGCAAGAAGAGACTTGAAAATTGGTCAAATAATACTGTCTCTAATCAGTAGGAGGCGCTGATGTTCTTTTGTGGTTTTACATTGATACTTTGCCTCCTTGACTTTTAGGTTACTTATTTTAAAATTTGCTGAAACCATTGTGAGTTTTTATTATTTGTGCTCTACTATTTTTTTTTTTTTTGAAGCCTTTTGGTGGCTTGTCAATTAACGGTATTGATAACTGAAATTTTTTAAATACATAATTTCAGATGTATAGAAAAATTACAAAATAGTGCAAATAATTTTCATATACTTCAAGTCTACAAATTCAACACTTTACCTCATTTGCTTCATCCTTCTCTCTACCCACAGACACACACATCATTTTTTTCTAAACCATTCGATAGTAAGTTGTAGATGATTTCTTTTTAGTCTGAAACACTTTAAAGTGCATTTCTTAAAAATAACTTTGTCTTATATAACCACAGTACAATGATCAAAATCAGGAAGTTATCTTTGATATACTACTGTTATCTCTAGATGCTGTTCACATTTTACCAAGCCCCCACTTCTCCCGGCAGAAAAAACCCAGAGCAATCCTGGATTATGCGTTGCTTTTAGTTGTTACATCTCTTTTAGTATTTTATAATCTGGAACAGTTCCTGTCTGTATTTGTGCTTCATGAGGCTGACATTTATTTTGTCTCTCAGTTTGGATTTATATGATGTTTCCTTATGATTAGATTTGGGGTTTATATTTTTGTTAGGAAAAACACAGAAGTGATGTGTTCTTTTTAGTGCATCATATTAGGCGATATGTGATAGTGATATGTCGCATTACTAGTTATGTCACTTTGATCGCTGGGTTACGGTTTCTCCACTGTAAATTTTACTGTTTTCCTCTTTGTAATATATCTTGTGGGGAGGTACTTTGAGACTATCAATTACGTTTTTGCCCCTCAAATTTCCCCCACTAGTTTTAGCAACCATATGATGATTCTTGCCTGAATCATTTATTATGTTGATTATCAACAAGAGGTGTTTTTCTACTTTCATCATTTTTTCTACATTGTTTGTTGGCTTTCTCCTGTAAGCTTTCCCATCTCTAATATTTCCTGTCTCTAATTTAGTTGTTTGTTTAAATCAATGTAGATACATGGATTCTTATTTTACTCAATGGATTATTGTCTTTTCTGTCCATCACATATTCTGCTGTTTATACTGTTCCAGATGTGGCCCCTGGGAGCCTTTTGAACTCCAACTTAAATTTTAATGCTTTTACTTTTTCCTTGTTTCATTAACAGATCACATAAGCACTCTATAGCCTAAGACGCCATTTTTAACATTAAGTTTAGTGAATTATTAATAAGTGTTTTTATTTGTGAACTTAAGTATTATTTTTCTAATGAAAATAAAATCTACCTTTGGAATTCTGAATATCACATTTTCATGAAATAAGTTTGAGGTTTATATATGATGGTGTATTTGATGTTTTTTTTTTTTTGTTTTTTTTTTTTTGTGATGCAAGGTTTTTGGATTTTATATACAGCATTCAAAAGAAGATATGGGGGGTTGGGGAAGTGTGCTTTTTAATGAGTTTGTATTTAATCTTATGTAATAATCCTCCTCCCATTCTTCTACCTCAAATTTCAGAGGAAGCTGTAAAAACAGATTTTTTTCCTTCCTAAAATTTACGTTTGAAATGATTGCCTTCAGAAATGTTAATGAAAAGAGATTTGTGTCACATAGTCTAGTAATTGCTTTAGCTTAATTGAAAAGATGGTTACATTGTCTTTTTACATTTTCTATAGTAAAAATTAAGTTTGATTGGATGGGTTGCTTATGCTTATACAGGTTGAACATCCCTAACCCGAAAATCTGAAATCCTAAATGCTCCAAAATCCAAAACTTTTTGAGCACTGACATGATCACACAAGTAGAAATTTCCACACATAAGTACTTAACGCAGACATTGTTTCATGCACAAAATTATTAAAAATACTCTATGAAATTACCTTTAGATTATGTGTGTAAGTTGTATATTGAACATGAAAATGAATTTTGTGTTTAGACTTCGGTCACATCCCCAAGATACCACATTTTATATATGCAGATAATCCAAAGTTTGGAAAAAGTAAAAATTGAAAATTATTGGCGTTTGCATAAGGAGTACCCAACCTGTAATCAGTTTAGCTCAGTTAAATTTGGTAAATAGCAGTAGTCATTTTAACTTAGGTTGCAGTTCTTACAAATGATATTTTTGCCTGTTTTTACAGCTGAAAAATACAAGGACTTAGTACCTGATAATGCAAAAACTGCTGACAATGCAACTAAAAACGCAGAACCATTGATCAATTTGGATGGTGAGTATATAAATGCATAACATTGAACATCAATATTTTTGGTTGCTTAAATGTTTTTTACTTTGAAGAATGAAGTCCACGTTTACTTGGTTTTAGTAAATTAAGAAGGATCCATGCAGACAGCATTTATGTTAGCATTTTATTCTCTATAATGTTTTTATAGTGTGCTTTCTCCTTCCTCTTGCATTTGAACATCTGAATGTTAATTTGATTTGCCTCTAGAAATTTGGGGTTTTAATTTGTATTTAATCATGGGGCCATTGTTTACCTTTTTGAATGTATAAATTTATTTTAATCCAGTGACTATGAGACAAGTGGTAAAATTTTCCATTAAATCTCAGATGTCTTTGAGTAATTTCTCTCTTTAAAAGTATGAAGAATCTAATTACCTAGATTATGATATGTTAAATATTCCTTCACTGGCTAATTCATTGTGACCTCTAATTTAGGAGTTAACCCTTTTGAATGAGTGAGGCTCTTAGGCACTCCTGGGCCGCTGGGAAAACTATCCATTGAGGGGATCTATGTATTAAAATTAACAGCCTTGGGAAGAAATGTTAATTAAAAGTGCTACATAAATTAGCCTTGCAGAAAAAGTTACAGGACAAACCTAATGTGAGTTAAATTAGTCATTTATTGAATTATTCAAGCTGGCTGATGAAATACATATGCTTCTTGAATGATGATGAGATCATGTCCCAAAGTCGAAAATATCTTAAGTCAAAAATTCATGTAATACCCCGAAAGAACCATTGTAAAGTTGAAAAATGAAACTGGAAGCACTGTAAGTTCAGATTTTCCTCATCTTGCACTAGGGTTACATCCCACTGAATTCATTTTAAGGTCATAAGCTTGTAAGTCCAACCATCCTAAGTCGGGGACCATCTCATATAGTCATAGGAAAACCATTTTATCTTTTACCAATTTATTTAATTGTTGATAGTCTGCAGGGCTTCATTTTTTATCTTGTGAGTAGTAGTTTTAAAAACTAAGAGATTTGTTGTTACCAAAAAGTGAAAAATGTTTTTGTATATCCACAAATATGTCTGTAATTATACATTTACAGAGTTGTAAGTTTTTCTTTATTTTTAATCTTCTATAGTAAATAATCCTGATTTTAAGGCTGGTGTGATGGCTTTGGCGAACCTGCTTCAGATTCAACGTCATGATGATTACCTGGTAATGCTTAAGGTCAGCTTCATGTTCTTGATTCTTGACAGAAACTGCATGTAGATTAATGTCTTTATTTTCTAAATATTAACTATTGATATTATGATCGAATGACTAAAATACAATAGAAGAATGTGTGATATAAAGCAGATTTCATGGTTTTATCGAATTTGGATTGTCTGTTTTGTGCCTGCCACTATGCTAAATCCTTTGCAAAGATGTTCTCATTCAACCTTGCCAACAGTCCTAGAGACAAATGCTATCTTTTAAAAATATATATGATATGAAGAAACAGACTTAATGAGGATAGGTAAATACGTCTAAAATGATAGAGCCAGGATTTTGAACACTGTAACTCTGTGGTCCATTCTTTTTCCACATTACCATACTTCTGTTTAGTTAGTCCTTTTAATGAATCATGGTCTGTATTCATTAAGATGGTGAAAAATGCCAAATGAGTAATGGTGAATTTGGTCAAAAATATATATAACCCCAAAATTTCTTTGAGAAATGAATGTTTCTGTTCCCCATCCTACATAGGCCACTCAGTTTATAACTTTACTTCAGGGAGCCCAGTAATCTGAAAGAGGTCTCTTGTTTCTGAGAGAAATCATAAACTTCAAAAGATTTATTCCTAGTAATCATGCAAGTACAGTGGTGTGGATCAGGGGAGTGGTACTTAAGATACCACACTTGGAAATTATTTTAGAAATCATTACTGATTTTACAAGAGATTAAAAGCTAGACCTTGTGCATGTAAACTACTTTGTAATAAGCTGAATAATTAAATTTCACTCTACCCAGAAGAGATTAAGCCGTAAGTTAACATGCTTTTTAGATTTTTATGTACTAAGTTATTAATAACTAAGTTATTAAAATTTTCTGTACTGTATCTGAATGTTAACTTGGATTTTCTCAAGACAGATTGCATCCCAAAAGACAAAAATGTTTGTAGTGAAATTTAGTGATTTCAAAGGCTTGGTCTTTATTCAGACAATTATGTTAATTGCCTTGGAACAGTTCTAAAGTGATCATGTCAGCTTTAATCATAGAGTAAGTGAGAGGAGAATCAGACAATGGATAGCATATTTGGGGTGCTTTTGTTAGACTTCAAAACCCAAGGGGATAAAGTATAAATCAGCTACAACAAAAAGCTACAAAATTCTAGTCCTAGCTGCACATTTGTTCCTTTTGAGTTATTTTAAGAAGCATTCAAAACAGTAACAGAATATGGAAAACATCTTAGTACATTTGTCAAGTACAAGAATCAGTACATTAACTATTTGGCAACCAGACTATTTAATATGTTTGTAGTCGCTGTTAAACATTGTTTGAATTCTGTTTTTCAAAAATAGTATTTGGTTTTTTTATTTAAAGTTTTCACACTTATTTTTGAGTTGTAACTGTCATCTCCCTAATTAAAATTCCATTTTAAAAAATTTGATTTTTAAGTGTGTATGGATACTTGGATGTATGCATGCCATAATGAAATGCCTTGGTTATTAAAACCACCAACAGTGTCCTTTGAAAGGTAAGAAAATATTTCACTAGAGTGAAGTGATAAAAGCCAAGTGTAAGACAGTATGCATGATCTGCTACCTTTTGTGTCAAAATGTGTATTCATGCATAAGCATGCTCGTCATTTTGCAGTTTTAGTGTGAGTGTACATAAGAATCTGTAGGGGATCGCAGGGCTAGGAAGGAGACCCACTTTTTGCCATGTATTCTGCTGTGTTTCATAGGCACGTGCATTACCTATTCAAAAATAGTTTTAATTGTTGCAAGCATCAGTCAACATTATTAAAATACTAGAAGTGTGAAAGGTTACATTATATTAGTGGTTTGGTTTTTTATTTTTAATGTATTGGAGAGTTTATTAATGAACTAGGTAATTCTGACTTCATCAAATTGAGCATCCTTATTCTCTAGGCTCATAGAAGAAAGGATGACAGGTAAACCTATAAAGTGAAAATATTTTTGGGTTTCTTAGGCAATTCGAATTTTGGTTCAGGAGCGCCTGACACAGGATGCAGTTGCTAAGGCAAATCAAACAAAAGAGGTATGTTTCTATAAATCCTAAATAAGTTGTTAATGAACATTTCTTCTGCTGTTGCCATGATTTTAAAGTTTGCATGTATCTGTTTCAGATATCCATTCTACATAAACAGCTTAGAGAAAGCATAGCTTATTTCAGTACTTCGTAAAGCAAATTGAATGTATTCTGTGGCTGGGGGGTCATTTTTGAGTGAAAAACAAACTTCACCTTCATCACACTTTGTACTTTAGAAAGCTACAAGTAGCTCATCCACGGTCGATAAATCATGCTTGTGGCCTGTTGAAGTTTAAAAGTATTTACCCTTATGAAACTTACTTATTTTGACTCATGCTGGAGAAAAAGGAACACCCTTCAGTATAAATTAGGTTTTTTTTTTTCCATCTAAATTCTATTCTTGTTCTTATTTCTTCAGAGTAAATTATTGTTTTATTCAATTTCCTGGCATAAAACACGAGAAAGTAATTTGGCTAAGGTCACCTAGTTGGTAAGTGATTGAGCTTAGGCGACTAGTCCGATTTGAAAGCCTGTGCTCTTATGGTGGATGGGGACAAGGGTCCATGCGTGGATCTCAGCATGAGCTTGTCAATCCGCCCAAGTGAAGGGGTGGGGGTTCTGTTAGAGTGTAAGGTTCAAGGTACAGATGACTGAAATGGTATCTTTCAGTCCTACTTTTTAGGCCAAGAAAGCTGTATCACGTGACTACCTTCCCCTTAAGGAGAAAATACATGCTTCTGGAGTATTTTTAGATTATATCAGAAATCCAAATATGCCTAAAGTTTCATTGGCTGTGCAGCAGTGGAGAGACTGTCTTCCAGTATCTGATAACACCTCCCTCCTGCAGCAACGAGGTTGTAGTGAATGCCTTGGCACAACTATGTTTTTTGTCCTCCCTGCACCCTTCCCCCTTCTCCCAACATGCTTTGTCCCCCAGCCCCTTTAGGAGGCAGGCCCAGAAGTGTTAAAAGGTTACTAATGTCAGGGCAGTATTTCTGCAAGACACTGTTTTCTTTTAAAGGTTCTTATTGGCTCATTATGTATGAATCGAGCCACTGGAAGTTGGATTAAAGATCAGCTTATGTCACCCACACTATAGAACAGACAGTAAATTGTTCTCTTGTAATAAAATCATTCATTCTTTCATTCAGCAAAACTATGTCTGCTTTGGAAGGCAGTGTAAATAAAGGCTTAGCCAAATCTCTTTACTCTTGTTTGAAAGTAAAATTTAGTTTTATTTTTAATGCTCCAAATCTTAATCTTGGTGTCGTCTCAGAAGACAGCAGCCTCTGATTTAGTGGCATTCTTATAATTTGGTGTACTTGTAACTACTCATGAGCTAGTATTTGAGGCATGTGGTAGTTTTCAGGGGTAGCTGTTCTTGGTGGTCTCTTGGCAGGCAAAGGAAAAAAGCAAGTCTCTGGTACTAGATGAACGTAAAAGCCATTCAGTACAATTCTGCTCTTTAATTTTGCTCATTGTGCTTTCTTGCCCATTGTTTCTTCCTTTACGTCTATTAGCTGTTTTAAAGCAGATGGAGACGAGGTACATTTACCTTACTAGATAAGACAAGAATTAGGCAGTGATTAAAGCATTTGAATAGTAACAGGTTTTAACATTGAAAGTATGGGTAGTGTGTTTTTTCTGTTGGCAGTGATTTTATATAATCAGCAGGGAGTACAGACTGACTGTCTTCATT